CGGGGTGCGGACCGGCCGCTGGCTCGGAGCGGGCTGGAGGGCAGCGGGGCCTGCGTGTGGAAACGGCCCCCGAGCAGGCTTTGCTCTGGATGCAGCGAGCGCAGACCAGCGGGAATGTAAGCTCGGAAAAATGCATCCCAACGCCTGCGCTCCAGAGGCGGCCCAAACATCAAAGTGCAGCCTCAGATTTCCCTGCCCCGATTACATGCCAGGTAGGCAGGCTTTAATTGGACTTACGGTCTCTAACTTCAGGCCGTTGGCTTCTGCAGCACCCCAGTGCAACCAACTAGAAATCCTGTGGCTGCTTAATTTAGGCAGCCAAAAAAACCCCCATGGCCTTTCTTGAGCTATTAAATAATACGGTTGATCTGTTCATTCTTGTTATTTATGTATACAGATACTAAAGTCCTCACAAGAAAACGCAGGGGAGGCAATTAGGGAGCAGGATTTATTTTTTTTTTTTCCCCTTATTTCTGCATAAAACCCATCTTTAGTGGAGGAGTTAATTTACTTGAACTCATCATGCAACATCTCTACCTCTAACGGAAACATTGTGCAGAGCCACATCGCTGCACAGTTTGCAGTTTGTGTACGTTCGTGCTTTGCTTCTTCAGCTAGAAGGCAAGCTGGCGTTTTGTAACGAGGGGTCGTTTTCTCACAGCGGCGTATCGTGAGCACACCGGACCGTGATGGGCGTGCGTTGTCTTTGCAGGGTCCCTTCAGTGTGCGGGCTTCTGGGTCGCTTCTGCCCCTCCGTTCCCAGAGCGTGGTTGGATCACATCGACAAAACAGCAATGCCCCAAATATTTTGTATTCTTGGGGTGCACATTGATTAACTACGTATGACAAGCACCAGAACATTTCATGTCATTTTTATCCACGGAAAAGGGTTTTTTTTTTAAGCTGCAAGAACATGCAGCGTGCTTGTTACCTACAAACCAGTGAAAAGGCAGACAGCCCCTTCGTTTGCCGTTCGTTTGCATGCCCCTCTTTTGCCTGGAAGAAATACCTGTTCTTTAGGTCCTAGTGGCTTTGAAACAGGATGCTGCCTGAAATCTTTTATTGCGACATTGGACTTCGATAATAATAGTCAAGCAGAGGAACGGGAAAACATAAATTGGTTTGCCTTTGCTGCCATAATTCCACTGAATGACCTTTTTCATAGGGCTGCAGGGTAGAAAAAATAAGGTGGGAGAGTAAAGCTGATGACATTTAACCTTGGTTCTTGTTAAACATGAGTAGCTTCTTACTAAATTTCATTATTTTTAAGGACCAACCCACTTAGCACGCCTTCCTTTCCAACCCAGTAGTGTCTCTTCTGAAGCCAGTGGCATGCTCTAGTAGAGCCATTTTAGTCTTAGTAGCTGAAATATCTTTTAACTTTTACTAATTAGGTAACAGCTAAATCAAAGTTTGGGTGGTTTTTTTTTTTTACTATATCTTTGATCTGTACAAGCTTACTCCTCTAAACACACCCCAGAGTGAAATGAAATGTTGTGTTCTTCTTCTTACCAACCACTGAGCTAACAGCTATCGAGGTGCGCGTGAGGGCGAAAAGTGTCTTCAGCGGTGTCGCGGCGTTAACTTTGCATCTTTTCAAGCTAAGGTGCGCGTGAGGGCGAAAGTGTCTTGTGTCGCGGCGTTAACTTTGCATCTTTTCAAGCTCATTACGGTGCCGTTTGCTCGCACAGGCTCTGATCGAAGCATGCTTGCTTGCATTTCTTGGTTCTTTCACAGGCACGGTTAATTATCTGTATCTATTCATAGGCTAAACATTCAGCATTAATAACTACGCTGCTTGCTTCGGGGCAGAGCTCGTCGCGTTTGTTATCGACAATAAGCAATGAGAATGAATTGTCTCTCATGAATTCAGTGGTGAACGACTTCATACGGCTTTAAAAGCGGGAGACAGCCTCATGATGCGGCGCTGTGCTGCTGTTGAGAGGAGCGGGTTGTTCTCGCTCTCGTCGTTACTTGTGCACCACCGTCCCCTCGGTGTGCAGGCTCCGTTGTTGCAAACCACAAGCTCCAGTCCTGGAATTGGTACCTGCCACCCCGCTGCCTGCGCGGAGATGGCGGGGCTCTGCACAGACACAGCAGACCTCCCACGTCATTTTTGCTTCATGAAATGGAGTTGGCATCTAGATAGTTTGCTGCTTGCCCAGACACAACTCCGCTTTGTCACACCCAATTAATGCCGTAATTCTGAATCACATTGATAGACTTGTGCTCGCAGGCAGAACTCGTTGCAGGTTTTGTGCTTCGAGTATTTCAAAAATTAATATCTGTGAGTAATTTTGCATAAATGAGTAGTGCCATTCAGTTCACGATGGAGGCCCTTCTTTCCTAGGCAAGGCTAGGAAATGTTTTAAAATAAATACATACACCACTTACCAGAACACTCTGCTACAAACCGTGACAACTGTTTATAAGACATTGCTGCCAATTAATTGCGCTTGTCCCCAGGATAATAGAGGCTGTTTTTCTTTAATTCTGAAGACTGTATGGCTATAGCTTGGAAGTGAACAAGCATGAAATCAGCATGGCCACAGCCTATAATCCTCAGACTTCACCTTCCCATTGCCCAATGGCTAAGAGAACCTCATAAATTTAAGAATATTCCGCAGCATGTCTGCCTTAAGGAATCTGATTTAGAGGCTTAATCTCCATAGGTTTTATGAGTCATCACATTTGATAGACAAGGAGAAATATGAAATATGGCCCGCGTGTACTGCTGTGACTCCACTGACATTAGGCATCTATCATCAACGACCACTTGTATTCTACTTCTTAAGTATTTATATCTCCCATTACTGAATTCCTCACAATTTTTAAATGTATTTCTCTTCTCAACAACTCCATGAGGTCAGGAAAGCGAACAAAGAGCGTATTCTGCTCTGGGCGTACAGGAAGACTGCAATAGAGAAACCAAGCACATCTCTTCTCAATACCCTGACGGTACCCGGACCCACTGCGTCACGCTTCCTTCCACGGGCACACTGTTTGTTTGCTAATAAAAATTAATACAGAATGTTCCCACTAGAAGAGATCTCAGCTGTCAAAATACAGAACTAAATGAGCTGCTGTTTAAAACCATTTTATAGAGAAGTAGGTGGGCCTCGAGTACTTTCAAAGTAGAGCTGACGACCGTATTTTACAGCATTCCTAAAGATGAGCTGTCACAACATGTTGGTGTGCAGGTTCGGGGTGAATTAGTTTGGGATCTTTGTATTTTCTTATAAAAGGCTGCGCTGCTCCTGTTACCTGCACGGCAAACTCCAACAACTGCTTTATGAATTCATCTGCAGTTGAGTTTTATCCTTCAGAGCATCACACTTTATCTAGGGTCTTTATATTCGTCAGTGAGGATGAAAATGAAATTTAGCTTTGATTCAAAGGCTAATTTAGATTTCAGTATACGATTAACATTCCACATACAATTACTCCCATCAGAGTCAAGCATTTGCATAAAACTTTGCAGGACAGGGGCCAAAACATTTTTAAGTATCCACTAATTCACTGCATTTTATATAAAGAATTATTCTTATCTGTTATTTAAGCAAGGGCCTTAACTAGGTAAATCTTGACACAGCTAAGTCTCTCCCTCTCTAGAATTACTTACTTTTTCTTACTTTTCATCTGGCTTCTGCTCTGTACATTGTTACCTGATTCTGCCAGCGGTTGGGTACAGACACAGGTCGCTAACTGGAAATACGACGTTCCTCTTCTGCACGAGTGTTTATAGGAGCAGCAGGAGTATTCAGCGAACAATCTCAAAACCTAAGCGTTCAGGAAAACGCGTTACAACTCCAACAGGTAACAGCATTGGTGGCATAATTTGATAAACCATTAAAAAATAAACAACGCCAAATCATAAAAAGCGATACTAAATTATAGATTACTGCAACACATACAGGAAAAATACCATTTTTTCCATTAAAATACCATCGTTCAACTACCGCGAGTGAAGTTCAACTAGCCCACTTCAGACAGAGTGGAATCACCAGAACTTTAATACTATATTTTTGGCATGCAATATATACATAATTAAACAGTTAAAAAACATATACAGGTGTAGTATACATAATGTAAACACAGTCTTGCTGTGGATTGTGTCTATCAGTATATTCACGGCACCAGTCGTAACATTTGCTAGCAAGAAAAATAATAATTGATTTTTGTTAATAGCGCTAATCAGGCAAACGTGCGACGGCTTGCCTTCCCCGCCGCTAGGCACGGCCTCCGTTTCCTGCTTCGTACTGGTACTGGGGGGCTTTACAGCGTTCCAGCAGCAGGGCACGCTGGAGCCCTTCACTAGGAGCTTGGTGAACACTAACGCGAGATCCGTCACTACGAACCCGATAAAGAAAGTCAGGCAGTGAGCGACCATCCATATGCAGTAGGACAGGTTAGCCATCCGGCGGGACACGGGGTCCGCGTATGCTTGCGACACGTGAAGAAACAGGAAGAGCACGAGAACCGTCAGCAGCAAGAAACGCGCCGCTTCCATCCAGCCCTTGACTGAGCTTCTGCACTTCAGCAGACAGAGCCCCACCTGGACGCTCGCCATGTACAGGGCTAGGTAGCCACAGAGGGAGAGCAGTCCTTCCCTGTTGGCGTTCAAAAAGCCAGCCCTCGTATCCCTGCCATCGCTCCCCTGCAAGATAAACGTCTTCAGAGAGGTCGTGTTAAGAATAAGCTGATAAAGCACAGCAAGAATGATAGCAACAATCCAAGAACTATTTTTTGGAAATATGGCTAACAGTAAAGATGCTGCAAGCCTCACCAATGCTAAGGTAAAGAAAAAATTCCAGTGCACTCCGTACTCTGAAGTATGTTCATGGTAGCCAACAGATTTAACGCTAAGCAGTCGTCCAACGCCAAGAAAAACCAACGGCCAAACGGAAAAGAACTGCCTGGCCAGACTGGAAAATTTTGGTTGTGTCACGTAAGACTTTTGTCTAACTTCAGGGCAAACGAGAGCATTACCAAAAATAAAAGCTCCGACCCCCATGTCCATAACTCCCGTTCCATAGGTCTCGGTTTTGGCATATCGCCTCGGATACTGCGGGAAATCCACTGCTAAGATGCTGATTGATGTCAACACATTGACATAAACGCGAAACACAGTTATCGCTGGAATGTATTCTGGGTCCAAGTACGTCTCCTGGAAGTCTTTTACAATTTGCCTAAAAGGCACTCTGCTCTTGTGTCTTCTTTGGCTGTAGATTTTAGAAAATATTCCGGCACAGGCGGCTGCAATGAGAGCTGGCATGAAAAAGATGATTGGAGACAAGACCGTGCAGGAGAACAGGAGAGGAGATACTAGCACAAGGAAGTCTAGCAGCAGGCTGTATTTCCTTGAACTTAAAGGTTTCCCGTAGTGCAGGTAATATAAAATCAAGAGGAGGCCTCTGCAAAGCAGGCAGAGGGGGGGCAGAGACAAGCAGAGGGAAATTTCCAGCAAACTGGTTCCATTTAAGTTGCTGACAAAAGCTTCTTTCAGCTGCTTTTGTGACATTCTTCTTTCTTCCTCTGAAAACAAGGCAGAACGCGAGTTAAGTGTTGTAAAACAGGGATCTCAGAACTTCATCAAAAATTAATCTTATGTACAGGTTCATTAAAACTGATTTCAGAAGGCCTCTGTTTTTCGGTTACTCTTCGATTTGAGGAACGCGGAACGGCAGCCCCGGTGGGGAAACCGAGCAGAGCCACTAAGACCCGACCGAGTTCCAGCATCACGGATCTTGCTCTGTTCCAACCAGATCCTTAACCAAGATCTCCAAATACCAAACCCCTCTTGACTATTCACATCGTGCACAATCTTACTGCGCGTCCTGCTCTGCAGAATACACCCGGTCATAGTCTCTTGGCGTAAATGAAGCGGGGGTGTAAAAACGCGACCCTAACGAAGTTGCTGTTGCCTGGTCAGCCGAGTAAAACCCGCAGCTGACCCAGAAACGCCTTTTTTCAAAAAAGCCCCCGTCCCACCCAGGCTGCTCCGCCTCGCGGGACCCGTTTCAAGAGAATAGATCTTAAATGTAAAAAGCGTGAATTACAAAATCAGAATCGCCGTTTCGCTTGTTTAACCCGGGGGGCAACAAACCGCTTCGCTCCCCGGCGGCGTTGCCCCCCCCCGGAATAGAAGTAGGAATAGGAATAGAAGTAGGAATAGGAATAGAAGTAGGAATAGGAATAGAAGTAGGAATAGGAATAGAAGTAGGAATAGGAATAGAAGTAGGAATAGGAATAGAAGTAGGAATAGGAATAGAAGTAGGAATAGGAATAGAAGTAGGAATAGGAATAGAAGTAGGAATAGGAATAGAAGTAGGAATAGGAATAGAAGTAGGAATAGGAATAGAAGTAGGAATAGGAATAGAAGTAGGAATAGGAATAGAAGTAGGAATAGGAATAGAAGTAGGAATAGGAATAGAAGTAGGAATAGGAATAGAAGTAGGAATAGGAATAGAAGTAGGAATAGGAATAGAAGTAGGAATAGGAATAGAAGTAGGAATAGGAATAGAAGTAGGAATAGGAATAGAAGTAGGAATAGGAATAGAAGTAGGAATAGGAATAGAAGTAGGAATAGGAATAGAAGTAGGAATAGGAATAGAAGTAGGAATAGGAATAGAAGTAGGAATAGGAATAGAAGTAGGAATAGGAATAGAAGTAGGAATAGGAATAGAAGTAGGAATAGGAATAGAAGTAGGAATAGGAATAGAAGTAGGAATAGGAATAGAAGTAGGAATAGGAATAGAAGTAGGAATAGGAATAGAAGTAGGAATAGGAATAGAAGTAGGAATAGGAATAGAAGTAGGAATAGGAATAGAAGTAGGAATAGGAATAGAAGTAGGAATAGGAATAGAAGTAGGAATAGGAATAGAAGTAGGAATAGGAATAGAAGTAGGAATAGGAATAGAAGTAGGAATAGGAATAGAAGTAGGAATAGGAATAGAAGTAGGAATAGGAATAGAAGTAGGAATAGGAATAGAAGTAGGAATAGGAATAGAAGTAGGAATAGGAATAGAAGTAGGAATAGGAATAGAAGTAGGAATAGGAATAGAAGTAGGAATAGGAATAGAAGTAGGAATAGGAATAGAAGTAGGAATAGGAATAGAAGTAGGAATAGGAATAGAAGTAGGAATAGGAATAGAAGTAGGAATAGGAATAGAAGTAGGAATAGGAATAGGAATAGAAGTAGGAACAGAAGCAGGAATAGGAACAGAAGCAGGAATAGGAACAGAAGCAGGAATAGAATAGGAACAGAAGCAGGAATAGAATAGAAATAGAAGTAGGAATAGAATAGGAATAGAAGTAGGAGTAGGAATAGAAGTAGGCATAGGAATGGAAATAGGCATAGGAATGCAAATAGGCATAGGAATGCAAATAGACATAGGAATAGAAGTAGGCATAGGAATAGAAGCAGGAATAGAATAGGAATAGAAGCAGGAATAGGAATAGAAGCAGGGATAGGAATAGAAGCAGGGATAGGAATAGAAGCAGGGATAGGAATAGAAGCAGGGATAGGAATAGAAGCAGGGATAGGAATAGAAGCAGGGATAGGAATAGAAGCAGGGATAGGAATAGAAGCAGGAATAGAATAGGAATAGAAGTAGGAATAGGAATAGAGTAGAGTAGAATAAAATAGAAGTAATGGCAGTTTCGGCTGCTGGGAGAAGAAAGAATTCTTCCTGGCTGTCTGACTGGATTCTCTGTGTTTATGACAGAAATTCAGAGGGTGAGCTTGACTCACCTTGGGTTGGCTCCCACTGATTTTTAGAGGAAACAGGAAGAGGACAGCAAGCAAGCGTATCTTGTTTCTGCTGCAATACAAAACTTCTCTGAGCCACTCCTCTTCTAAAAGCACTGGTTTCTCTGACGCCGTCAGAGCCACAAACCTTTCCTATTTGTCCTAACAGGAGGAATTTAACAGAAAAGAAGTTGCCATTTCTTGCCAAGAAACCTTGCTTTATTAATTCATGAGAAACAAAGCATTTTATTCTTGCAGTAAGGAAAGATATGTTACTGCCTCCAAATAAGCTTTATTTGCAGGGGCAAACAGAATATATGGCTATTACTCAGTGTGGGTAGGCTCTCCAGCCCAGCATTACTTGGGCCCTGCTTGTGGGGGGATCAGTACCTCTGTCTGAAGCCTTTGGGCTCTGCTTGTGGAACCCTCCGGAGAATGACATGTCCAGAGTTATTTTGTTCTAAATGCCTTTTTTTTTTTTTTTATTTAAGCGTTCTTCAGCGTTCTTTGAATGAGATACCCTAAAGGAAAGGCCCGCTCCAGCGTTCCCATCCATAGGGCTGGACAAGATGACAAAGCAGGTAAAAAGCCAACCAGGAATTGTGTGCGCTAATTAAATTTTCCTGCCAGGAAAGAATTTTTGGCTTGTTTCCATGCAGTCAAGATGAGGTGACTACTAATGTATATTCACCCCTGCTTCAGGAATTGCCTGGACCTATGAACTGTGGGGTTTTGAGCTGTGCTCCTAACACCAGCTGGTGATTTCTGTTACGCCATTGGCTTTAACGGGGCGGGTGTTAATGCATGTAGCAAGCACATCCTCAAGGGTGTTTGTGCAGTGAAATCAATGGACAGATGAGCTGTGCAGTACAGGTATCAGAAGTGATTGTATTTTCAACCATTATTTTTCTTTCGGCCAAGCGATCACCATCTCCTCCCAAATGAAGCGATGCTGAGCAAGGGGGTGCAGGCGAGCAAAAATAAGCCCTTTCTCGGGTCTTGCAATATCAGCTGCACGGTGCACTTAAGGACTTGGCTGGTGCCGGCGTGATACAGCAAACGCCTGGGAGGGCACGGGAAGAGTGGGCGACTGGCAGAAGCTCATCTTGTCCACAGAGTATTTCATAATTGTGCGTGTCTGTTCTCTGTGCAAGCAGCGAGCTTCTTAATGTTCATTCGGAGGAGAATAACAGAAATCACTTTCACGGCAAGGCTTAACTGCGTTCCTCAGCTTTTTTTTTTTCCCTTGCTGTGTAAAATTTTGTTCTGCTGGAAATGAACCACTTACGCTGTCTGCAAAAGATAACAATGCTCCTAAATGAGTACATTATTGTAGCTTTTTTTTTTTTAAGAAATGTGTTAATGGGGTTTTGCAGTGTATTTTTCCCCTTATTAATGAGCTTAGCTCACGTGGTGGGAATGCTGCTAACTAAATTTAGCACTTTTTCTGTATAAAGGTGATACTGTTCATTGACTTGGTTAACTTTTATGCTACTAAATACAAATGAGTAGGGTTACTTTGAAGGAGTTTCTGTCGAGGAGAAAAGAAAAGGAATATCCAGAAAGCAAAAATGAGGACTGGCATCTTTTCCCCCTCTTCATTTTCCCTTATAGCTCCTCTCTCCTCCCCCCACCAAAATGACAAAGAGCACCTGAAATCTCTCTTCTGGCTACGTTTTCCATTACGTTTGGACAACAAATGTGTCCTTCCAACTAATACTGTCAAGGACACGGGAGCCCAGGGGCTAAGATTTAAATACTTCAAGTGATTCAAAGCGGACAAATCTTAAATCCCTAATGCAGGCCAGCTCCTACAATGCCACCATTTCTTTCCCCTGCAACGTGTGCACTCTGCAACTTCACTCATGGGACCCTCTAAAAATGAAAGTCTCTGCTGGGAAAAGTGCATTTGTGTGGGACGGCAGCAGCTTTCAGCTCTCCCTTAGCCTCTGCAGCCAGTCCTTCCTGCTTCCCTCTGCCCCAGGTGGTGTTTGCGTTGAATGCATGACATTTGTAGGCTTAGAAATACTCCAGTTAAGAACACCGTCTGTCTGTGCTGAACAACCTGCAGAACTGTTAAGTGCCAGGTAGCGTGAGTCTAAAGACACATTCTTTCCGAGTGCCTTTGCTTACAGCCAGAATCACCAGCGATGAATTCAGTTCCCAGACAGTGGTGTCAGCCTGCCATCTCTCATATGCTAGATAATACCTTTCTAAAAACAGAGCATCCCATGGGAACCACTCGTGCTGGGGAAGGGCAACGGGGGGGGAAGAGCAGCTCAAACATACTAAGTTTTGACTCCTGCTGAGACTGAACTTTCGTTGCGTGGAAGCAGTACAAGAGCTATAAACTGTAGTGGATGAGGTGAAAGTCCAGCTATACTCAGCCTTTGGTGCTGATCTGACATCCTCTCCAGGAAAATGGCCAAAAAGAAGATTGTATCATCCAGAATGACCTCAGTGAATCATTTGAAGAAGAAGTTAGAGCGTTCCTCAGTGATGAACAGAAACTGCATCTTTTTGATGACCTCACGAAAGTGAATCCGGTGACAACTACGACAGGTAAGCGGCCAGCCAGCGGGGTATCTCCTCAGGAGGCACTTTCCTTGGTGGCTACTAATATATGGCAGTTACTGTTCTCATTGCATTAACAGTACAATGAACACTGTAGTTAAAGATTCCAAGCCAATTAAAGCCTAGTCACATTAGAAAGTCACATTTGGCTTGGTTGATTTTTATTTTTTTTTTTTTCCAAAATATTTGTATTGTAGATTTAGCCACGCCGATGTCTTATCAAGCTCTGCATGCAGAGCTCACATTGTATTGGTGGTTCAGGTAGCCAGGCTGTGGTTGAGAGTTAATGCTACTGAAGGACTCCTGCATGACCTTGGGATTGCAGCTTGCTTCCATATGAACGTGTCAGAAAACGAGGCTTCGATTCAAAACATGCCCATGAAGTTGGGTTTGAAAAGTAAATTCCTCACTCAACTTTTAAAGGTGATCATGTTAAGAGGAGCTAAGGACTGTTCCTAGTGCAGATGGGGAATTCTTGCCTCTGTTCTGCAAATGGACAGATTTGCTTTCTAGGACTATGTGAAACCTCATAAAAGCACAGGATTTATTGAATGGAATAGTTAGCAGATCCCTTAGGACTTTAAAAATAAGGGCAACTCTTAAAGACATTGTTATTAGATCTGTATCACTCTCTTGAACGCCTCATTCTCTATTAAACCTAATAGGTAACATAGCTGAAGATTTTTATTACAAACAGGAATGGGAAGAGGCAAGCACACTTTTCAAAAGATGCTAACTCAAGGTGTGTCTTTCAGTTCTGAAATGTCTCCAAGCAAGATATACAGTAAACTTGTTTTATA